CAAGCATGCTTAGTGTGAGGGATTGTTGAAGAGTCACCAACCAAATGCAAGCGGAGGTCATTGCTGCAGTCTCATCCAGGGGGTGCAGGTCTGGATGCAATCAACTGGTTTTCCAGACCAACCTGGTTCAATGGTTTCTAGAAACTGACCTGATGTGAATCAGCGCTATAGAAATAAACTGAACAGAATGCATCCATGTTGGACCAACATTTTGGAGCATGCTAGCTAGCAGTCCCAGGGTCTGCAGACGTTAGCGTGGTGTCATCCCCCCCCCACACACACACACTGGCTGGCCTTCACTGGAACATCAAAGGCATCGCCATGGCAACCTGGAGGAGAGCACCTGACCTACATCTTCTCTATTTGAAATGCTGATGGTGGTGAAGTTTGGTTAGTATTTTCATTCCCTTAAAATGGGGGCGGAGTTTAATCTGTGCTGGTTAACAGCGTCTCTGTTTGTTTATGATGAAGTTTAAAGAAGGAAGATTGATTGTTATGAAATAAATGAATCTGAAGATCAAAGCCTGTTTGATGTTATCAGCTCACTGTCAACCATTTTACTGACTTATTTTTGTTTCCTGCTCTAAACAGCAGCTGGAAAATAAAATTATCAAAAACTGATTTACTGCTTTTCATTTACATTTTTCATCATTGATCAATAGCTTTTTCTGAGGTAGACATTTTAAAGTCTGAGTCTCTAGCGCCATCTATTGGCCCTTAGTGCCTCCAGACTCCAGGAAGTAACCATGGGTTACTCTGATTGGACGAGGAGGGTCACCCAGAGCTCTGATTGGCTAAAGGTACAGCTACACAGGGAGAACCAATCAGAGACCAGCATTAGGGGGCAGGTAGTTTCTCCTCATTAGGCCACGCCTCCAATCAATCTCTCCTTAATCTAAAGAGATACAAAGTGGAAGAGGAGGACACACCTGTCCCCTGCTGACCTGAGGTACAGAGTACAGCAGCTACAGCAGGGAGGAGTTAGTCTCTCAGAGGGAGGAGTTAGTCTCTCAGAGGGAGGAGTTAGTCTCTATAGGCTAACCAGCAGGGGCGTCAGTGAGCTGACGTTCCTCTTGGGGCCCCCATGGGCTCTGACCCTGCAACAGAACCCACAGCTACTCACCTGGCTGCTGATGGGAGGAGACGCAGGTGGAGGCAGAGACTGAGGAGGTGGTTGGCTGCAGGAGGCGAAGGAGAGGGAGGCCAGGCGGGAGGCCCGCCATCCGCAGTCATGAGGCAAGGAGTAGGAGCGCAGCCTCCTGGTCTCTGGACGGCGTGGCTCTGTGAGGTACGTCTCCAGGTGGAAACCCCCCCCATCCTTCTGATGGGAGGGGGGAGCAGCAGCAGGTGGAGGAGGGGTCGACAGGCTGTAGGCTGCAAGGAGGAGGTGGAGAACAAAGTGATGTTTTAGTATGGACTGAGGAGATGCTGCCCCCTGCAGGAGGTTTCTATCAAAGATCAGAGGAGAACCGTTCTCCAGGGTTTTGCTTCCAATCTTTCCTGATAATCTCCTCAGGAACTTTTTCCTTCCTCTGACCCCTTGCTCACACTGGCTCCGGTGCGGTTACCGAGCCGACGGAGACCGCAACTCCCGCACACCCCCTCTCACACCGCCCTTTTGACTA